TGTGTGTGTGTGTGTGTGTGTGTGTGTGTGTGGAGAGAGTGTGTGTCTATAGGGGCCCAGCCAGGAAGCTTTATTTAAATCCAGCCAGAGAGAGTACTATAATTATGACTTTTTCTTTCTGCTGGCCGGTTAAAGCTGACAGAGAGGGTTCTTATGGCTCACTTCACCCTCTCAGCCTTCTAAAGAGAGATTATTACTGGCCTTGAGAGCTAGGGCCAGTCAGGCTCATCAGCGTGGCTTTAAAGGCCTAAGAGAAGGGTTGGGTCCAGAGCAAGGCTACAAAAAAAAGGGTGAAAGACAGAGCTGAAGACAAGTCACTGTGTAATCCAATTTAAACCGTATTCACTGATGCCAGGGAACTGAACAATCTATGTACCCAGTATGTCGAATAAATAAAAACACACACAGTTCTAACAGAGAGCAGCGTGCCAGTTCACCACCACCACTGGGATTTGGATGCACTACCCCTGTAGTAAACAAAAAACAAACAAACAAACACAAACGGAAGCCGACTGGGGGTCAGATGCATTGAAGGCTGATCCTGTGTGGCCTTGCTGGTAGGAGGTCTTCCTTTTCTCATTCTCTCACCACCTCTCTCTTTTTATCAGGTCATACACTATCAGTATCTGTCTGCCTCCCCCTGCAGTTGCAGCACAGGCAGTCTGGGCCTCAGCCCTGCTTCTATTGTTCAGTGAAGGCTCCTATCTGCTGACCATTTTGAGAGGTGTGTGTACTCACCTGCACAGTAGATGGGCATGTATTAAGGTATGTATTTTGTCTTCACTTTCATTTGTAGATTACTGTTTATTGCATTGCTTACAGATAAGCAAGCAAGCACATTCTATTAGAGTTATTAAGGCGAAAGAGTATTTAAGATAATTAGGCTGCATTGGTTCAATTAAAGAATGCTGTAAAACCACTGAGGACAGATTTCACTCAAACATCCTAAAGCTGTACATTTGGTTTTAGGCAGGCCTGTAATGACATGAGTATGTTAATGGTCATCATTAACATATAAGTCACAAAAATATATGTATGCATTATGTAAACAGAAAAACAATAACATGAGAATTCAGGTCCTTTAGGTTCTGCATTCAAAATCCTATTTTAAGCAAATGTACTCAAAGTATCAAAAGTAAAAGTACTTAATTTCTGCGGAAAAATTACAAATGTGGGTGTAGTACTTTATACATTGTTTAAAACGTCAACTTATGCTTGTATTTGTAAGTATAGGTTTCAAATATTGCAAATAAATGTACTGTAGCTGAGTAAAGTACAATGTTGTTCTCTTAATTGTCGTACAAGAACGTGACATAACATTTAAATACTCAAGTAAACAAGTTTTACATCTTACAGTAGTATAGGACTCTGCAGTTGACCTTCTCAGGCGAAACAATGCAATGCTTG